AGAGAATACCTACAGCCTTACGTCCTTTAATTCAAACCTCAATGGTCGTGTGAGCAAAAGGAGGCCAATCATTTCGTAATAATATCAATTGGTATGTACCGCCTCTGCCTTGTTAAATGGGGGAGAGAGGTAGAGCTTTTCAGAGGTCTAATAAGGGTCTCTTTTCGTATTCAGGTAAGTGTTCCATGACTCTGTTTTGGTTCAGGTCCAAGGAGCACCTGCAGGGGTCTAGCAAACATCAAGCATTGCGAATAGTAACACAGGTACCTAAGCTTTTTTGCCTGTTGCCAAAAATCACATCAGAAACTTGTTTCACTTCCTATTGTTGATTTCTACAACACCTTTTGTCCATTGGGAGTTACGGTTACCAGGTTAAGGGTGTTGGGAAAAAAGAGTTAATTTAGAAGCAAGTCTAAATAGTCAAGATGGCCTTAAGAACTGATTGTCCCTTTTACTTGTACCACATATGAAAACACAATGGTTCTTAGGAGTTAATTAAATACTACTATTAATCGTCTGTTTTACCTGTAGTCTATTTAAACAAGAGATGTTCAACAATGTCCAAATGCAATGGAGATACTTCTACCCTTAAAATCATTTTAGACTAAACAATCAAGCTAAAATCAATGTATACAACCCTAGCATCCACATCTATGGCGTGGCAGTACAGTAAACTAAAAGTTGAATGATTGTGTACTTAATACATTGTGTCATGGTGTTATATAGCGTAAATAAATAATGCGGGTGTGGGTGCCAAACCTGTTAGCAGCTGTCATGCAGACCACCATCCATCTCACCATCTAACCGTCCAACAGCATTCAAGGTCACTGACCCAGACACTCAATCAGTTTTTATTTCTGTGCCGTGGTGAGTCGCTGCATGATACCAGCCAGATCATACCATCACCGTCAATGCCAGGACTAGATAGCTGACACAATCAATCTACCTTGACACACATGCACACGCTGGGCAGCAGTAGCTCAGCCTGTAGGGACTTACCAATACAAAAAGTGTATGTTCTGGTTGCTGGAGACCGGCCAGTTCCCCTTCTGGGCAATGCAGAGATGTCCTTGAGCAAGGAATATAATATGTACATTGGTCTTGTTTGATTGTGTGTATTTTTACTCTATAACAGAGTAAGATAACTTTATGTCTTGTTCTTCACACACTTCCTGTTGGGTACACACACACCGAATCAAAATCAGAATACCTTTATTCGTCCCACAGAGTGGAAATTTACATTTGTTACAGCAGAAAAGAGCCAAAGACAGCTTAATGTTGACTAAGCATGTATTAAAAACAAATTTAAATATAAAAATGTTACACAATTTACAAAATACACATCCTGTAACAGCTCTGTGTGTGTGTGTGTGTGTGTGTGTGTGTGTGTGTGTGTGTGTGTGTGTGTGTGTGTGTGTGTGTGTGTGTGTGTGTGTGTGTGTGTGTGTGTGTGTGTGTATAAAGAAGGTTGTCTTAACTGTTTGAAAACCAACGTCCTGCTTCAATTTAGCCCTGTAGTTGACCACACTACCCTATAAATGACTCTATTATCCACATAAGGTTCCCTGCAGAAACCTTTGAGGAAAATCAAACTTTATATACCTGTTCTCCAGCAGCAGCAGCAGATTGTATCTTCAAATATGTTTTTTGTGAGCCCACAGATGTCTCCTAACTGCTCAGAGGGATAAATTGTTGGCCCGGGGCAAAACTAATGTTTAAATCCAATATGTTTGCAGAGTGTGTCGCACCGTCCTGACTTAACATTGGTTTGAGCCTCAACAACATGTTATCATTCTGGGCAGACAGTTAACATTTATATGGTCATAAACATACCTCAGAAGATACATCCTGCGGCAGGATAACATTATAATGTAATGCTCAGTTTACATTTGTTGCAATGGGTCGTTATGGTTTTTATTTTACATTTGAATTAAGACTAAAAGTAGGCAAATAAACAAAGTCCTTAAAGGTTTACAGACATTTTAATTTTCCTACATCAAAATATATTTCATTTATGCTTGAGTTTATGAGTTTTCCTTTTAAAAAAAGTTGTAAGTTTAGCAAGCATTATTAACCTGGTCTGTGTTAATACAAATAAACTGCATAAATGTTTTTTATGGAGGCTTTTGTTTGCATGTAGGTGATGAGTTTAACAACAAATACCTGAAAGCCAGATTAATTTGGCCTGCATTAAAGACCCGGTGCATCTGCTGCCATATGAAATCTCTGCGCAGCACAAACAAATGGCCAGTTCAGTGGGATTAAGTCCACCAAATCCTCTTTGCAAATTAACGACAGTTTGGACAAAATGGAGCCCAGAAGGTGCTTTGGTTCTGTGGGAGAGGGCTTAGTAACCCTCCATGGTTGAAAGGACCCATTCGGACTGCCTTAATATAAAATGACCACAAGGGACAAAAATGTCAAAAGGAAATCAATCAGTCAATTCATTAAAACACATTGTTAAAGAACACCGAGCTGAGACCAAAGAGAACATTACGTTAATTCATTCCAGCCATCTTTTCATTTAATGAAAAAGTTGTAAATTTGTTGGAATTTATTGGCATATTCTCTGTAGGCCTTCTCAGTACAGGGATGTTTATCTGCCTGTGTTGAACTGGGACCAGGACATCTCCCAGTTGGGGGAACGCAACTGGTTGTTGACACAGATGACAGATGGTATCATCCTGGAAAGCCATCTATTACCCAACACCCATCAATACGTGTAATGCGAGCTCTAATGCCTCTGGGCTCCTGCCATACTGTAATATGTGGAGTTTTCCAAGGCTGTCTGTGTTCCCCAGTGAGATTGTGGAGGAGAACCCATTGTATTATTTAATGATCTTCAACCAAGGCCTCCCTCTGCCCCTCTGGGAGCTGAAGTTTCCAATAGAGCTTCATCTTCTCTCGAAAGATTCATCCCTCTGCCTCTCTTCGAAGACTCAGGGCTGATTGTTCACATTTGAAGCAGTCAGAGAAGAGCAGAGGAATATTGCTACTGACTTGGATTAGATAGGCAGAGTGTAAAATGCTCTGCTGTTCTGACAGCACTGATGGAGAGATATGTGTGTACTCCCCAACGTGAGATATATCGTCACTTTGATCCTAAAATTTAAAGCCCCATTATAATGATAGAGAAACCCAAAGAAAATCAGAGTTTAACAATGAAAAACAACATAGAGTTGTATTTTTCCCAGCTTGTATTTTCAAGGCACTCATCGTACCCCAAATAACTGAAAAAGTGAGTTTTCCATTATATGTCCTCTTTAAGTAAAAAAACAGGGGTCTACAACATGAATGTGTTGCTTTAAAGTACAATAATAATCTAGATAAGCATTCGAGGTTTATAGTTATCTATCCACAAGAGTTCAATGGGTCTTACAATAATTATTCATGAAGCGGGATAACCTGAGCTGACACCCCTGATGTTGGTATCTACATTTAAGGATAATGTAAGAGGAGATAAAAAGAGCATTTTAAAGTCACGGGATAAGGATCCTGATTAAAAACCTGAAAGTGCATTGAAGAATTTATAAATACTAAAGGAAAACATGCTGTTGGTTGCAGACAACAAACCAGCTTTACGCCCCAATTCCGATAAAACCATGCTAGTTAATATGCTAGAAAAGAGATAGCATGTCTTGATACAAAGTGTGTGAAATGAAGTATGGGAAAAATACCAGGATGTCCTTCTGCATCCTGCCACGCACTGCAGTATGGGAGCCGACATACTTTTATGGCTATATTGACCTCCAATCCCTACATAGGTACGATGTCATGACTAAGTAGTCCAGATTGTATAGCCACTGCATGAAACGGTTCATTCTCTGTAAGGGAAGCTGCAGTACATACTAAAAGCAAGGAGTGTGTATGTTATTTGGAACGCAGCCCAGGTGTAATAAAAAATAAATGTAGGTATAAACCGTAAAGAGTTAAGGTGATAAATCACCAGAAACGACAGGCAGTCAACACATGTGCCGAGTCAGCACTTAATGTAGTATCTGATGTGCTTTATGGTTGATTGCTTTACTTTGTCGCTTGTTTACAGGAAATCTAATTCAACCGTTAAATGAAAAATGAATACAGCGAAACGATAAATAATTGTTTGATTTTACAGACGTTGTTATAGGTGTCAGGTTGTGTTGGGGTTATTTCCATCGCCAGAGGTGGGAAGTGAGTACAAATGCTTTGTTACTGTACTTTTTTCTGGTAACAATACTTTATTCCACTAACTTTTTCTGACTATTTTTTACTTTTACTTCTTACATTTTTAACACAAATGCCTGTACTTTCTACTTCTTACATTTCTAAAACAGGTTTGTTACTTTAGTTTTAATCTGCGTTTGGTGGCGTGATCATTATTATTTAGAGTCATTGCGTGCCTGTTGGTTTTAACACGATCCGTGTGTACATCATTTCCTGGTCTTCTCTAAAGAAAAGGGACCAATGAAAACGTTGTCATGTTGCCGTTGTTCAGCATGGAAACATTCATTAGCTAACAATGACATTATTGTTCTATTAATATAAAGGGAGGTCAGGTACTCTTTAAAACAGCTGCTAGTTATGGGTACTTTTTACTTAAGTATATTTCGAAGCCACTTCACTTTCACTTGAGTAAAGAAGTTTAGTCAGTACTTCTATTGTTACCTATTTTTAAACACGAGTATCTGAACTTCTACTTCAGTTAAGGATGTGTGTTACTTTGCCTTCTCTGGTGTTTCAACGAAAAGATACATGTTATT